AGCCCTAAGATCACGAGGCAGGATAGGAGGGCGTGGAGGTAAGCCTACTAGTCGTGGCAACGCTGGTAGTTAAGGATTTGTTAGTTCTGGAGACGGGAAAGCTGTCGGGTATGCAAGGTGTGTTTGGCTTATCGATAATTAAGCTAAGGTATGCCTTTGGTTAGTGTGATCGAATGGACTCTAACCTGTTGCTGGACAAATTACCATTGAAAAGGCTAGTGGCTATAAGTTTCCCCAAATCACCGAAACTGAACCAAAATTAAACGGACAATCGAGCCAGCCAAGCATCAGATGTTACATTCATCCGATGGCATAGACTATGCAGAATATTCAGTATATTTATTCGTTTTCTCGCTTTTTCCAAATTCAACTCTGATTATAAAACGCTTAAGTTTACTAAATAAACATCAATAGGCAATACAGGAGAAAATTCAGGCACGCTAGGGCTGTCAAAAGGAAATTCATTAAAATTGAAAGTCAATCGTAGGTTGATTTAGTTAAGCAAAACTAGGACTAGTAGAGCGAACATTTAGATAATTTCTGGAACTCATTCCAAAATATATCATAAAGTTCTGGGTAGGTGTGAATCAGATTTCCTAGGTGGAATGTGGGATCCTTGATAATTTCGACACCTGTCCTACTATGCTTGTCCGCGTGACACAACATTACCTTGCCGTATTCGTTGAAAACTACAACCAACCACTGCAGTTCAGGCCTGATTTCGAAAAATGCATTCAGGTGCTTAATGCTGGGATATTTGCCATGCTCAATCTTTCGTAGAATGTATTTAGGGGAGAACAAGTTCGATAGCGTTTCATTCAAAAGTCTGTTACAACCATCGTCCACAGAAAGCCCGTTTAATTCCAAGAAGAGAAGCTCGAGAGTACCGTGTTTTGGGAATGGAGTGTAGTCAATTTTCGAGTTTTCATGGGAAATAATGCAAAGACGCCGAAGGGGTCTGTAGTCAGTAAGAACCTCGTGAACAGTCTGCTCACTGAAGAGTCGAGGGCAAATGATTTTTACTTCCTTCAGCGAGGGAAACAGATCCAAATAGGTGGAAATATTCTTTCCGGACGGATGAAGTTCTTGTCCGAAATCCATAAAATCGCTGGCAATCATCATTACCTTTCGAACATTTAGGCACTTCTCCTGCAAACGAGGAAGTTTTGAGCTGGTTTGCTCGTCATTGCAGCAG